TGATTCATACTGCCTTTATGATTGATTTTTGTATGATCAAATTGGTTGTACTTGAGTTATTTATGATCTTAACCGAGTCTAAATGAAATTATTGAGCACAAAAATGTGAATACCTGGGAAACAGATTTAATCAGTCAATCAATAGCAACGTAGAACTTCGTACGTAAGTACATCAGTTCATGTTGCCATACCCGACCGTAGCTGCTACATTGACGTGGTGGTCGGGCTTGCCTATCGTGATGAAGCGACCGAGCTATATTGGCTGAAACATATGTTCCTGAAGGTTCTACCATGTCAGGCAGGTCGGTTGGAGAACGATGAGACTAAAAGCAGCTACCCAAGGTCTGAGGGAGAAGTCATACTACTGACTGCAGAGAGGTGTGACAGCAGTAAGGTGTTTCCCTCGGACAACCTGCAGCGATGCTGCCTTCTCACAAGGAAGGAAGGGTTAGAGAAGGTCGACCCTAAAACTGTCACACCTCACCCTACCTCACGGATTTTCGTCTCCGTTGGTAAGGGTGCCCACTAAGGGCTCTTAGGAGCGGGGCTAATACTCAAAAAACCTTTAATGAAAATGCTGTTCGTGACTGGCCTCAAGCAGTTGTCCCTTGGACTCTGCGGTCACGCTCCCAGGCCGTTAAGACCGATACTAATCTCACTTCCTTTTCAGGTTCCTCAAGAAACACCATTCCACGGAGTGGGCAGCCGGGATGTGACAACCGCCCTCATACCCGTAACAGCACAAGAGACCGAATCGGTCAAAATCAAATCCTTCCTAGGAAACAGATTAATGTGACTTGTACCAGAGAAGTAAGTGAAGTGATAAATATTACATGAAATGACTGGTCTAAGTAACTGATCCTCTAATCTAAGTGTTATCAGTGGATTAGCTACAAACTTGCTGTAAAACTAATGTTTAATACACGCATGCCATGTTAAATTGATAAATTTTCTTGTTCCTAACAAGAAATCCTAAAAGATATTTACCATTAAATGTGATGTAACCTGTAATGAATTAATTTCGATAGAATGGTGAAAAGGACGACCTGAACTTCGCAGATGATCTGGTTGTTTATTCGCATCAGCAACAACAAATGTGAGAGAATATGACCAGTGTAGCAGCAACCTAAGAAGCAGCAAGTCCCAATGTACATAAAGGGTAAAGCAAGATCTCCCGATACAACACAGAATGCGTCAACCAAGTCACACTTGACGGAGATCACTAGGAGGATATTACAACCTTTACATACCTGGGCAGCATCATCGACAATCAAGATGGATCTGATGCAGATGTGAAGGCACAGATTGGCAGAGCAAGGGCTGCATTTCTAAAATTGAACAACATCTGGAATCTTAAAACAACTATAAACCAACGCCAAAGTCATACTTTTCAGTACAAATGTCAAGACAGTTCTACTGTATGGAGCGGAAACTTGGAGAACTACGAAAGCCATCATCCAGAAGATTCAAGTATTCATTAACAATTATCTATGCAAAATACTTCGGATGCGATGATCAGACACAATCGGCAACAATCTAATATGGAAGACAACAAACCAGATTCCAAATGAGGAAGAAATTAGGAAAAAGTGTTGAAGATGGATAGGACACACATTGCGAAAAGCACCCAACTGCGTCACAAGACAAGCCGTCACTTAAGACCCTCAAGGTTAAGGGAAAAGAAGAAGGTCAGGGAACTCATTACGTCAAGAAATGGAGACAGACATGACGAGAATGAGTAAAAATTAGACAGAGCTGGAAAGAGAAGCCCAGGACAATGTAGGTGGGAGACTACTGGTCGGCGGCCCATGTTCCATTGGGGTTGACAGGCGTAACTAACTAAGTAAGTAAGTAAGTAAGAACAATGAAAAGATTGAGTTGATCAGCAAAATATGATGTATCTGAGATGTACAGTTCGAACACATAAGTCACTTACATACTTGTCAAAACATTTTTACATAAAAAGAAAGCTATTAAATGTCAGTTAAATAATAAAGTTAAATTCAGATTGAATGATGATCGTAACTAGATCAGAAATAATAAATTCAATGCAACCTGAAAAGAGCGAAATGCGGACATACCATCCTAAGCTGCAATCTAACTTGTAGATTATCAAGATAGAGAGAGAGAGAGTCAAGGTGACTACAAATTAGTTATTCAAAGAAAGGTCATCAGAACAATACATCAAAATAGTAATTATTATTGTATATTTCATTACGATCATTTACATAGCCATTCTTTTGTAAAAATAAGTATCTTTTGATCTTAGAATTAAAAGAGAACAGTTGAAATCAAGTGCTGAGAAATTTTGAATTGTACTTGACTTGTTAATGTTAAGTAGGTTTATTTAGTTTGGTTTATTAATAGTCTTGCGGTGATTATCATTCATTGTGATCATAATAGATATTGGTGATTCTTAATAGATTGATCAGAGTTACCAGCCCAGTAGTCCAAAGGTTAGGCTTTCGCGCTCAAGACCGACGGCCCTGCGAGGTGCAGGAGTCTTGGATCTGCACTGCTGATGAGTCTCATACCAATACTTGACGGCCGTTCAGTGCTTCCAGGTATCTAATGGTGGTCTAACAACGACTGACTGGTTATTTCAATATGTAAAAACACTAATCTCCATAACTCTAAATAAAAATATTCCTTCTATCTAACTATCTGTCGGTCCTTCTGTCGGTTTGTCTATCTATCATCTGTCTGTTTGCTTGTCTGTCTGTCCATGATATTTCTATGGTGATGTTTCTTTGAATGATCACAGATTTATTGAAAAAAATGGAATGTAAACGTGAGTGAATAGTGTAAGCAATGATCATAAATGACCATTATATTCATTGTGTTCAATATTAAATGTCTGATCATAGTGGTACATTCTCAACATTTTATATGTAAAATTGAAACAAAATGAATATAATTTCACTAAAACAATAAATTAGAGCACTATAGAGTAAGGCGTCTTTCATATGATCAGTCCGTGAGGTGTAATTAATTAATTAACCCAATTTGGTCATTCTATACATTAATGAGGTTACGTAAACGGTTCAATGTCCAATGATTTAGTATCAAACATAGAAAGGATTCAACTTGACCGATGATTGTGCTCAGTGACAGGATAAGTTACATTTCACTGGCCTTACATACAAGTTAACTATAAAAAACTTAAAATGTACATTTAGGAAAATATGACAACTTGGAAATGCGAACACACTACTGTGTAGTTTACTTGGAAATCGAATAATAAGTGGATAAGTTTCCCTTATCTGATCACATAAATATGCAACTACTGACTGCAATACTGACTGATCTTGTGGAACAAAGTTAAGTAGATCATAGACATTGTATACTTTATATGTGTCTATAAAAAATGTATTACAAGATGATTTTGTAAAGGGTGAGAACAAAGCGGTTAGGAATTCAATTCCGGTGCACTTAATCAATTGTTATGTCTGAACTCATCTACATGTTGATTTCCAGGTTGTATATAAAAGCTGACTAAAAAATCTATCAAGATTTTCTAGTATTCAACAGCTGTGCATCACAGAAGCTCTTGTCATTCATGAAATAAACCGAGCACGTTTTATCACAGACAAATATTTGTTATCCTTCTCTTCAACATAACTGAAACCAATGATTATTCTCATTTTCTTCTCATTTCATCGACATTGTATTGAAAAAAACATCTTCATAATTATTGTTGACATTAATTCATTTTATTTAACCCCTTTATTTATTACCATTGGTTATTATGACAAAAACATTTGAATACGTTTACCCTATTCATATTAAACTTTCCAATGGTAGCTCATTAGGTTATATGTCTCTTTATTTGGTCATTTCCGGTAAAAGCTATACAGTTTTTTGTGATTATTATTTAAAATAAATAATCTAGTATTATTAAATTTTCTTTTGCTTATTCATCGTTCAAATTTTCTCACAGAATGAATATTTAAAATCTCAACTATATTTATGTTTTCTTCAGATCGATAATCAGTTTATTGAAGGGAGAATCTTTCCAACATCTGTGTTTGTTTTTAATAGACAAACAATGGTGAGTATAGACGGATTTGTCGAGATTGTAGTATATGCATAGTTGAAATCATGAACTGATCTTAGTAGTTTGACCTCCAATGAATGCGTAGAAGCACAAGATGATCATTTCGTCGCAGTATGGGACTCCTCAACAGTGTGTAATGCCTCCACATATATTCCATTTCGCTTACATTTCATTTGGTTAAGCCCTTTCGACTAATTTATTTAACCAAACCTTTTGTATTGCAACAATTTATATGTACCATTCGTTCTTATTATTATTGTCTGGTTTGTATGAGCTCACATGACGTGTCCCACTTGTCATTTGACCTTGTCAACTATTCGTCACTTTTATTCATGTGTGCCTATTTCTCTTGTCACATGTCTCTGTCTTATATTTGTCTGACTATGTATTCTTAGTCACGCTCGATCTCTTGGAGTTGGATCATTAGCCTTCTCCAATTCACGTTGTTTCGTATGCTTTGTTAGCTGCATTTCAACTTCGCTTTCCAAAAATAAACGTATTCATCACTTCGAATTCATCTTCTGTTATTTTCAATAGATGACTGTTTCATATTTGACACAGATTTAACTCCACTACTCACCACGACTTTTCACTAGAGCTCCAAGAATTTCTTCTTAAATCTAGTCAACAGTGAGCATATACGAGAAGCCATGACAAGTAGGGTTCAACCGTATCCAGTGTGAATCAGTAGTCTACCAGCAGCTCAATATCATGAATTGATTGAAGCTAGACATTAAAACAAATAGATGCCTATTCTGTGGTGACCAGGTGTGTTAGTTCGATTTCCACGTATTCGGTCGTGGATATACTCTGCTAAATAGTTCAATACTAGGGCAAAATGGCCATCAAATGCTTCCAGGTTTCCAACCCTATACTCCAACACTAATCAATTCATAATTTCAATGAAATTATTTTCATTACTAATTAAAACAATTTTGTTGTTGTTGTTGAATGAGAATACATTGTACATTTATTATTTCAATTAAAACATACAAAAAAGAAATGATGTTAAACTGTTGTTGAACATTCAAACTCTTTTCAATTTCAAGAAAAAAACAAAAAAACAAAATGAGAAACAGAATGAACAAATAAAAAATATCACTACATGGTCATAAACACAATTCAATTTGAAATGAAAAATGATCAAAATGAAAAATGCACATTGTCAAGTTTTGACAATCAGTCGATCAATCAATCAATCAGTTTATCTAGTCAGTATTGATCATTGATTACAAAAAGGTACAATGACACTTGTTAATCTAAAATAACGTAAAATGTATAGCGTAGAATGAAATTCAATGATTGGATGCGTTAATTTATCATAGTTCTTTTTTTCATTTAAATATCTATCTAACACATTAATTACAATACTTTAAAATTCATCATCATTGTGCCATTTTTTTTATATCTCGCGGTAAATTTTGTTTTAATTATCTTTCCAATTACAATAGGATGTTTTAGATGAAAGAGAAACTGCAAAGTGAACCAATTGATTGACAGTATGAATTAGTAGTATAAAAAACAAATAAAAATAGTCGAAATATATTTTTGCTTTGCATAAAGATCATTTGTTTAAAATAGTAATCTTGTAAAATAATTGAACATTGAAAATGAGAAGAAACGAATACATTTTGTAAGAGAAAACAAAAGCCAGAAAAGGAAATGAATTATCATTTTTTTTGTCTGTTTTCAAATAATAATAATAATAATAAAAACAAAAAAAAGTTTTTATTTTGATCGAAATTCATTGGATTTCATTGTACGATCAGTTCCAAGTAATTCATTCAATTGTTTTTCATAAGTATCAATATTTCTTTGCATTACTTTAAGGCATGGACCCATTAAACGTTCAAAACTTGCAACATCCAAAACTTGAGCAGAGAGAAAAAAAATGTGAATACAAATTTAAAGGAATCATTAGTATAGGATAACAATAATAATTGATGATTGAATTATTACTTACTTACTTACTTACGCCTGTCCTGGGCTTCCCTCTCCAGTTCTGTCCAATGTTTGTTCATTCCTCTCATATCTTTCTCTATTTCTCGGCGTAGTGTGTTCCTTGGCCTTCCTCTTTTCCTTTGGCCCTGAGGGTTCTATGTGAGGGCTTGTCTCGTGACGCAGTTAGGTGATTTTCGTAGTGTATGTCCTATCCACTTCCTGCGCTTCTTCCTGATTTCCTCTTCCACTCGAATCTGACTTGTTCTCTCCCAAAGTTCGTTGTTGCTGATGGTGTCTGGCCAACTAATACGAAGTATTTTGCGTAGACAGCTGTTAATAAACACTTGTATCCTCTGTATGATGGCTTTCATAGTTCTCCAGGTATCCGTTCCATACAGTAGAACTGTCTTGACATTTGTATTGAAAATCGTGATTTTGGTTTTGTTTGAAAGTTGTTTGGAGTTCCAGAAATGCAGCCCTCGCTTTGCCAATCCGCGCCCTCACATCTGCATCCGATCCACCTTTCTCGTCGATGATGCTGCCCAGATATGTAAAGGTTTTAATGTCCTCCAAGGCATCTCCATCAAGAGTGATTTGGTTGGTGCATGTTGTAATGCATCGGAGAATTTTGCTTTTTCCTTTATGTATGTTGAGACATACTGCTGCAGAGGCTACTGCGACACTGGTCGTCTTCTCTTGCATTTGTTGTTGCGTGTGCGATAGAAGAGCCAGTTCATCTGCGAATTCCAAATCGTCCAGCTGCGTCCTAGCTGTCCAGTTGAATTATGCATAGTATAATTAAAAAGTTGAACAATTTTATTGCATTTTATGTTGTGAGCTTGCAGTATCGAATCCAGTGTACTTGGATTTTATTGATTGAATATTTCTAAATCCCATTGATGATGATGGTTACATTGAATTTCAGAAAAGCATATATTCTTACTGTTACCTGTTATCATTATTTACGGTGAGTAAGGCTATAACTGTTGCAGCTCAGCTATTTATAGGATAGTGTGTATACGTTTCAATTCATAGAATCCGGTTTCATGTCTGTTTGTCTATACCAACACTGGGATCTAATCCCAGATAGGGTTAAAACGGGCTTTTTTTTATTTCAACTGAAAACTATACTTCAAAAATATTGTAAGATGTGTTACAAGAAGAAGGAGGTATTCACTTAAAGATAGTATATACAAAAGGAGACTGATTATATCCCATGTTTCTAACATTACAATCAATCTCTCTTCAGTTGTAATGATCCTGTATTTATTGTCAAGTGAAAGTGTTTTATTTTTAATTCAATTCAGTTAAATCATCTGTTAGCGAATTCTAGAATATCAATTATGCGTTTACAGACTTTTCAAATAATTGATTTTTAAACTCACTGACAAGTTTATTTGTAAGTTATTAAAACATTTTTTACCTTAAGATGTAGACACTAAACATTGTATACTTTTAGTGGGTGGAAGATGGAGGAGAATATACATTATGCGTAGGATATCATCGTGTATGTCGATTTGTATAAAACTCTATTGCTTACTATATATGCTAAATAGAAAGAACATGTAAAATACACCTACTTATTGGAAAGTTGAACAACAAAATAAATGATCAAGTTTTAAAAATAGTTTGCTTTTTTGCTCTTCTTTTAAACACAAGAAATCGTTAAATTTTTATTAAATTTTTACATAAAATCACTCAATAAATCTTAAGAATATTCCTTTCAACAAAAAAGAAGCACTCATCAACGAAAATAAACGTTATCGATAGATGAAACTGTGTGCGACGTTTATTTGTTCAATTTGTAGTGAACGAAAACACAGGTGGGGCAACCGGATTGTGTTTAACGACAATTACAGAGTTACTCAGTAAAATCGGAAAACCATATCGTAAATCGTTCATTTGCAAAATAACAGTTCATCATATCGAACTGGACTGTTCCTGTTGCAAAACATCAATCCAATGTCAATGTTCATGCGTTTCATACAAATTCCATTTGGTGTTCTAACTCTTCCTTTCTTGATCTTCCCTCATCTTCTGTTGCCAGACATTACGTTGACGCTAACGTAATATACTACTTATAAGTAGCTCGTACCACATATTTATAAAATAATCATTGAATAATAATAATTGAATACTTACCGGCTACTTTAGTCTCACCTACAGCATAAGCTGAAGCAGCTCTAGGTCGTTTAGTAATTAATGCCAATTCTTGATTAGTTGATGAAAATAAAGACAAGAAAAAAATACGTATCAGAATTCTAATGATTGGTAGTCCATATTTTTGAACATAAAAAGTAACATTTTGATGCAAATCACGTACAAGTATTCATATCTCACTTTTTTGAAGTCATTTAAGAACACATGTATATATATTACTTACAAACGTCTGTTACGCTGAATATAGCATAGGCCACCGACCAGTATGCTTCAACCTACTCTATCATGAGCTTACCTTTCCATTTCTATCTTATTGCTAACCATTCTTTTTATGTCTGACGCTGATTCTCAGTGTAGTGCACTCTTTGGTCTTCCTCTTTTCCTTAGACCTTGAGGATTCAAAGTAAGGACTTGGCTTGTGACGCAGTTAGGGTACTTTATTCAATGTGTGTCCTATCCACTTAGAGAGCTCTCTTCCGGATTTCTTCCTCCGCTTAAGTCTGGTTTGTTCTCTCCCACAGTAAGTTGTTGCTGATAGTATCTGGTCAGCGGACCCTCAGTATCCGGCGTAGACAACGGGGTCATTAAAGACATGCGTCTTGTGAACTGTCCGGGTATTTGCAATAGAAATTCTGAGTTAAGCGTTTCTTAGCGAGCTGTATTTCTAAGGGACGGGGTAGCTAATCCCATGCACAACCCTTCTCCTTTATCCAGGCTTAGGGCCGGCAGTAACCCGATAAGAGCTCCAGATGGAGTTGTATATATATATATATATATATATATATATATATATATATATATAAGCGTAGAATTACACCAACGTTTGAAAAATAAACTAATTAGACAATAAAATATGTTTATTCTTAAGATTTACTGGCAAATACATCGCATTTCATAATATTAGTAATGGTTAATACATTTAACAAAAATTATTTTCAATAATTCGATTTATTAATATTAATCCTTTTGGAAAATAATTTTACTAGTTTGCAAAATAAGGCAGAATTAAAGAGGTAAAAAATATCTTAGAAATACTGAACAACTGAAATGGAAATTAGAATTTTCACCTTTCTCTTTTTAACGAGTATATGATAACCTTCAGATCAATGAGGCGAAATTCAATGGCCTACATTTTCAAACAAAAAAAAATAAACGATTTCAACCACTGACCGATTCTTTTCTGTATTGAATATTACTGTTGTGTTATCTAGTTATTTTCAAGTTGATTACAAATTATTATTATTTTATCGAAATTTAAAAGTTTCACTTTGAAGCTACTCGGTAATTCGCATTCTGTAGTGAACTGTTTTATGTTCATCTATTTCTTTAATGTTAATCGGATTTCTCTGTTCAAATCGAAATATGACTATATATCCAAGTGACTGGACATCGCCTGTACACTACACTGATATGTTATTCTTTTTGGGGGCAGTTGTCAGGAATTTCACATGACCCAATGTTCTGCATTAGTAGACACTTAGAAGCAAGACATATCCTTAATCTTGAAGTAATCGATGCTTCCTGGCATTGATTTTCACAGCCTGAAGAGTTCCCGCTGAAAGATTCAAGTTGATTTAGTTTCCTACTGACTAATTTCAATCACTATCAAAATTAGTCTCCCCAATAATTTGTGTGAATATTGAACTCATTAAAAGATTCCTATCATATTAAAATATTGATACTTGAACGAAATTTTCTTCAGGTTCCACGATGACATTATTTAAATTTATAATCAAAAAAGTAACCACGTTTAGGGTAAATACATCATTTAAAATTATAGCTTGCGATTTTTGAAGATGTAATAAGAATTTGTAATTTTTGTACTTGTGAATGATTTTCAGTTTCATTAATACACACGTTTATTCTTATCAAGTTCATATTCTTATTGACAAGTCGATAAAATATTGATTGACTATAAGGAATCCCCATTTTGATGGACAGATTCTTTCATTTATATTGGTATGATATGAATCTTCTCATGGACGTTGAGCACTGCAATTGATCAGTCACTTTGGACTATGTGTATCTTGTGTAGACTGCCGTTAAGTCATAATCATTATGAGTAAAAAAAAAATTGGACTGAGGTTTTCAGTGGAATTCAGGACATGCGTTTTGTCCTATTTAGGACTTGTCAACTGGATATGTCTATATCCCAGAATTGATGTTCACACCGGGAATGGAATTCTTATTGCTGTAATATTTATTATATGATGTATATTGCCTTAAACTTGGTCAGTTAATTTATGGAAATATTAATTTGGATAGTATCATTGCAACGTGTGAGGGGAATTTATTGAAAATGATCGTCGATCGATCATTGTTTGACCACCATTAGAGGCTTGGAAGCACCAGACGGCCGTTTTGTCCTAGTATGGAACTCTTCGTCAATGTGCATCCACGACCCCCACTAGCGGGACCGAAAACTCAGAACCTTAGATGTCATGATCTTGAAGTGCCTCCACATATATTCCAGTTCGCTTACATTTAACTTGGTTAAGCCCTTCGGAATTAATTTATTTAACCAAGCCATTTGTGTAGCAACAATTTATATGTACCAAACGTTCTTATTATTGTCTGGTTTGTATGAGCTCACATGACCTGTCTTTTGACCTTTTCAGTCATTCGTCGCTTTTATTCATGTGTGTGCATGCCTAACTCGTTGATCACATGTCTCTCTTATTTCTGTCTGACTATATATTCTTAGTCATCCTCTTCTATCTCTTGGAGTTAGCTCAGCAGCCTTCTCCAATTCACGTCGCTTCATCCCTCTTGTTCACTGCTTCTTCGCTTCGCTTTGTGGTGTGTCCCAAATAAACGTATTCATCACTACGAGTTCACCTTTTGATATGTAACCGTCAGACGCTACTTTGTAACGATTGTCTAGATGAGCTAATTACCGAGTTTAAGAACACGCAGTAAATTGACACACTACAGTCAATATGCATCCACGACGCCCACTCACGGCACCAAAAACTCAGAACCTTCGATCTCGTGTGCGAACGTTTAACCTATAATCGACTGAGCTGACCGGTATCCAACAGTGGTAATGTCTCACTCTGATCAGTCTAAGGTATTGTGCCATGACCAATATAGTTCACCTCTGTCGGATGTAGGCAGCAGAACTTATCATAATTATCATAATCTTTTTTGTTATACTGAAAACACTCAAGTCACAAAAAACTTATAACCCCTTATCAGATGAGTAATATTTTCCATAAGTTCTAAGTAAATAATCATTTTTTTTCATAACACTGAAATGATCAATTTAAACTTACTGATAGATAAAAAGAAAACAAATATTTATTTACTTAGATAGATAATTTTTAAAGGTCAGTCAAATAAAAATGACACATGAATGTAATTATTTAAAAAAAAAATACATACATGTACAAAGAAAGAAGGTCCTTGATCATTTATTTACAATGACAGAGGTTTTGATTAGATTTTTTTTATCTTTTTAACACTTGACCTAATCTAATTGGATTTCGCGCTATTTTTATTTCAGTCATTATCAGTTGAATACATGCATTAATTTCATAATGTTGTGTATAGAGTTTAGAATTGAGTAAAAAATTTATTTATTTATATATTAGAGGCTTTTTTCAGCAAGTTGATTATTTACATGATGGGATCGCTAACCCTATGCCCAAATCTTCTTCCAACCGGCCGGAACCCTAGAAGGGTTTCATACACTGGCCAGACAACATCAGTGACAACCAACTATGGGATAGAATAAACCGAATTGCAGTTGAGGAAGACATTAGGAGAAAGCGCTGGAGGTAGGTAGGACACACATTGCTGCAATCGCCCAACTGAACCATCAGGCAAAAGGAAAAGCGGTAGACCAAGGAACATACTGCTCTTGGAATTGGAGATATTTATGAAAGGAATGAATAGCAACTGGGTAGAACTGGGAAGGAAGGCTTAGGACAGAGTTGGTTGATAAATGCTGGTCGGTGACCTATGCTCGATTAGGGGTAACAGGTGTAGGTAAATTAGTGAGTAACACAACGATTAACTAATGTTATCAATAAATTGATGGTTTCCTGACAACATTTCTGAACTGTGTCGCTTACTATCATATGAAAGATGGTCTGTACTTATATTGAATTTGAAATCAGAAAAAGTAAAAGTAACTATCTATTATCTGAAGGCCTAAAACTGTTCTCTAATAGATATAAACTATTGTGTTCAGTACCGACTCGTTTCCAGAGGTAATTTCAACATTTCTAATGAAAGCTCGTGACTAGTAAAGTCAAACAATATCGGGCGAGGTGCTTGTGCAGTATCTCAAGTTCATTGAAGTTAGACATTCGTATCCAGTAGATACTGGTCAAGTGTTTTATATTTTAAGCTTTCACTTTGAGATCGAAGGTATTGTGTTAAACTACTCAGGATATTGTGAATCTGCACTGCCGAAGAGTCTCATATTTACGGACAAAATAACTGTCGATTGCTTTATGATTTTTAAGTGTTATTTAACTAGAATGAATTTGTGATTTAGACTATAATAATAGTTACATTTGAAAAGATAGTTATTATCTGAAGAAATGTAAGCAGTTTATTTCTGATGCCTGTTTAACTAATTTCAAACAAACACCCGCTTCATATAGTAAGTACTATCATCAATTCAACATACCTCCAAAATAAGCACCTTTACCAACTCGACTCAATTCTACTTCTTTGGAATTCTATAAAAGTAGTAAGAAAATAAATTTTATTTAATAAGTAAAGAGATACTCTAGATTTTTTTTAAACATCATTCATATAATTTAAACAATTTAGTTATATTAATCAGGTTATACATATTCAACATGTATGTATTGACTACTGATATTTTTAGTAGTACAGCATAAGTGACACCGTGTGGCAAAAGCCAGTCGTGGTTTCTGTATTCATGCCGAGATTTTGTCATAGATCACGCCATCAGGACTGATGGGACTCTGCAGATAAGTGAGGCGGTCGATATACTCAAATATTTCACTTCTTATTGTTAGTTCAGGTGCCGACACAAGCCAATCCTGAAGCAACGTGTTGCATTTCGAGTAGGAGAATCGCATCCCGAACATGCTTGCATTGTTAGTCAGAGGACTGCAATATATCAGCTAAACCAAAACATGGCACAAATCCATGAAGTCACTGGCAGGTGGACTGAGTCATGTTGGTAGATGGAGTCTATCTGGTTGGGGTCCGCGAGACGAAAGTCACCAATGGTTACAGACCTTGAATGACATGGCTCAGAATCGTTTGCAATGGTTCAGGTGCATCCACTCTTTGTGTTCTCTCTAATTCTAACTTTCTGAATTCCTCATAATCTCTACCTTTCTCCTTCTAAATTTATATCACTGAATTATACTTTATATCTTCGCTCCCTAATCTTCTCCATTAATGCTAATACTTCTACTATCGCGATCACTCTTGGATATGAACTGACAGTTACGTCTCTGTGCTGGCGTGGTATAACAACCTGAACTGATGTACTTATGTACAAAGTTCTGTGTTGTATCTGTCTGTCTGTGTGATATTTTTAGTATTCAGTAATCAATTTTAACATTTTACAATAAATTATAGTTTTAAAATAAAATTATCTTCATTGGTATCATTTCAAATTGACTTTGAATAGAGTAAAACCTAAGATGAATATCCTAGTGTGAGCATTCAAGTTTTCAAATGTTTTTTAAATGAATGAACGTTTTTTGTTTGTTTTAGAAAAAGAAACGTAAAAATCTGGCAAACGATGTTCAGTAAGGATGAGAAGTTTTATGCTAAATACTTTTTATTTACTAAGAAAAAAAAATCAAGAAATGACTACAGAAAATTACATTTGACTAATAAATTACATTATTGCATGTTTAATTATTTGACATTATTGAAAAAAGTTGGATACTAAGATAGTAATAAAAATTTCTTTTCATTTCAGTATCAGTTCTTTGAGATAATACTATATTACAAGACTCAACATTTATAATGTATACTAGGACAACCGAGTAAGCAGTGTTGTCATGGTAAATCAATAGATAAAGTATTGAAACTTCATCATTTGAGGTGGTTGGGACATGTGTTACGTATGCCTAACCACCGACTGCCACGACGAGCGAGGTTTTGTGGTGTGGGAGTAGGTTGGTCGAAAGCTAGGGGCAGCCAAACCAAAACATGGCACAAATCCATGAAGTCACTGACAAGTGAACTGAGTCATGTTGGAAAGTATAGGCTACCTGTTTGGGGTCCTCGAGACGATAGTATTCGACTGCTAGAAACCTTGAATAACATGGCTAAAAATTGTTTGCAATGGTGCAGGTGAATCCACTCTATGTGTTCTCTCTAATTCTAACCTTCTGAATTCCTCATCATCTCCATCCTTCTCTTTCTAAATTTATTTAACTGAATTGTACTTCTTGAATCATATCTTCAAACCCTAATCTTCTCCATTACTGCTAATACTTCTACTATCGCTACAACTATTGGGTTTGAAGTGACAGTTGCGTCTCTGTGCTAATGTGGTATGACAACTTGAACTGATGTTCCTACGTACGTACGATGTTCTAAATTGTCAATATCTGACTTAACATACTTTCAAATGTATCACAAAATGCAGCGTTAATATGCATCTCACAATAAAAATGAAATCGCCAAAATTTAGAGCTACACTTTCATAGATTCAGACGTTTAAATGTTCATAACTCATACATATGGTTATTTTGTCTGATCTCAGATACTGCCGAAAGTTATCTACCTAAAAAAATTTAGATTCGGCTTGTAAAGAAGGACTTCTCCAATGAGAAATGGATTAAAATGTTAAATTTCTTTAGCAAGAGACTGCGTGTGCAAACCCCGCTCAGCCTACTTTGATCTAAGCCGTCAGGAAACTTCATAAACTGGTATATAGTTCTGTTCTTTATAAACGAGTTACTTTTGTCTAGTGATTAGTGTTCTCATTTATGAGATTGTATTGTCATTCAACATTATACAACTTTACCTCTTTCACACTAATTCTAACCATTCCCGATTCAATGATAAACATTTCTTTGCCAGTTTCACCTTGAGATATAATTGTTGCACCATCTTGATATATTCTTGATTGTAAAGCATCAGCAACATTTGTACGTTCATAACTACTTAATTCTTTAAGTAATGGAATTTCTTCAAGTAATTCTACATAAGTTTGTCGTTTATGAAAAGCTGCTTTAAGTACAATACGTCGAAATGTATTTCTATCCATAAGCCATAATATACCATCTGTAACAGCAATGATTGAAGCAGCTCTCGATGTATTATACATGAGAGCAAGTTCACCAAATGAACCTTGTCCATTGTATGAGCCAACTTTTTCACCAAATTTCTCATCAGTTGATTGAATTTGTTTAACATATATATCATAGGTGCCTCTGTAATATATACATATATAAAAAAAATGAAAATACTAAATAGTTAGTTTGTTGATGTGTATGTAAGTGTTTTAGAAGAAGGATAAGCGTCAAATATTCGCATTATATTCAAGCAAACAATTTGTTTTAATAAAATATTGAAATTTCTTCAACATTTGAGTTAGAATTATACTTTGGGGCACAGTTTTGGAGGTTTGCGTTTTTACACATTTGAAATCATCAATCAATCAATCATTGTTAGACCACCATTAGAAACCTGGAAGCACTGAAAGATGGCCGTTTCGTCCTGGTATGGGACTCATCAGCAGTGCACATCCACGACTCCTGCTCCTCGCAGGACTCGAACCCGGGACCTTTGGCATTGTAGGCGAACGCCTTACCATCGGACCACTGAGCCGTCATCCAACGGTGTTAATGTCTAATTCTGATTGATCTAGGAGTCGTGGATGCGCACTGCTGATGAGTCCCATACCAGGACGAAACGGCCGTTCAGTGCTTCCAGGTTTCTAATGGTGGTCTAACGATGATTGATCGATGATTAGAATTATACAAAAATATGAAACTGAATATATGTATATTTAGCTGGATTCTCATCAAGCTTTACTTTAATATACAGATAGTCAGGGGTAATAAAACATGAGACATCATATATGTGCATTGATTTAGTTTGTAATTCCTAATCCATACAACGAGATCTCAGAGTTGCGTAAATAGTGACGGGATAATTAAGAGGCTTGGGATATAAGGGTATATAAAGAGTGAACATGTAGCATCTCAACATTCATTGATTGTACTTGAATAATTTTTCATTTAAATTATTATTGCCTGACTATAAATACTTAGTCATTGAATCATTCAGCACATGAGAATTGGCTCACTAGTCTTCTCCAATTCGCTTCGCTTCACTTCTACGCTAATCATTCTCATGTCTGTCTGCTCAAATGAATGCGTGAAATAAATTCATCCACAAAACCGTATTCGGGTTATTACTACCACCCTTTTCCCAAATGGGGTTAGCCTAGATTTAATATAAGGAAGCGAAAAGGAAGATTTATTTTATTGCACACTCAATCATTCGTCCACACTGGAGTTCAGTCATGAGCCGCTAAAAACTCACCTGAACCACTGAGAATTTTTATGAACAAATTCACTCAATAGCTATGCTAACCCTAACTGAGTAATCTAAACCTACCTGAATACCTCATCAGCGGAATGGTGCCAATTTTTCGTCTGTCTTAACCTTTCTTCTTTATTTACTCCTAGACCAAACAGTATCGTCCGTTGATTCACATTGTGATTAGGTATACGCAACATGCCTCAAACACTTTGGATGATGAGGACTTACTGCTCCATCAATCGACCTGATGTCTTTGCCTAGTATACTGTACTTAGTAATCCTTTATCAGTGACTAGGAAAATAGTGGACAAATTTAGGTTACTGAAATTGACAGGATTACACACAGTCATATAGGAAGTTACGTTAGTTGGTTGTATAATAAAACAAAGCTTAAAGAGAACCTCATATTGAAAACAGTTTGCTTAGCTCCATACTTAATCGAAACTAAATAGTTTACCCACTGGCTGTATATATAAATATATGCCTATGATAAATGTTAGCATGTCTCGTCGTATAAAGTTAAAACAAGAATCTTTTTCTTTCATTTAGAAAGAAATATATGTATGCATCACATAAAATAGCTTTCTTTTGAAAATTTTTCTTGAAAAATACACAACTCATCTTCCAGTTGAACGAATATCAACATTGCTTAAATGATATTTGTAATAAGAGATGGTAACATTGTCTATTATATAATTAAGCATATTTTCAATGTTTAGTAAACATTAGGAGATTCATAGAGGAAAAAAAACACACACTTTCGTGTAAACAAATAAACTGATTGTATTTTGAAAAGTTTAATGAATCATTAGATACAGTTAAACAAGTTGTGTTCAATATTATGAACGATAAATAGAAAAAAATTTTAAAAGAGTTTATGTACATACTTTTTATAGAATAGCTTTGTTTAATGTTATAAAGTTTGTGTACAGTGAGGAATTTTCAACATCACTTGAACAATATTACAGCTGTAGTGAACGAGAACACAGGTGGGGGCAACTGAACTGTATTTGGCGAAAATTACTCAGTAAAATCGGAAAACCATATCGTAAATCGTTAATATGCAAAATATCAGTTCATCATATCGAACTGGACTGTTCCTGTTGCAAAACATCAATCCATTGTCACTATTCATGCGTTTCATACAAATTCCATTGTTTTCGAACTCTTCCTTTCTTGATCTTCTCCCATCTTCTGCTGCCAGACATTACGTTGACACTGACGTCATATACTACTTATAAGTAGCTCACACCACACAACAAATATCCCTTTGACTCATACTTACATGATAATTATCTATTGATATCATCATGAATCGATTAATGTTAGGTAAACCACTAGAAATCCTGAAACCCTAGACAGCCGTTTTGTCCTAGTATATAAGACTCATTAGCAGTGAGCATCTCTGATCCACGCACGCGGAAACTGAACTCAAGACAAACGGTCTCACGCGTGAACACTTAATTATTAGGCTAATGAGTCAGCATCTGACGGTTTTAGTGCCTACGTTCAATCAATCTACGATACTGAGTGACCTTATCCATTGCTAGTAACTAGCTTACATCTGACTTGGTTGAACTCCCTCGACTATGATTTGTCTCACTAGAACTCCGAGAATTTCCTCACATAGCTAGTATCTAGTGAGCAAATGGTACTTGTTTGTTAGGATATTCATCAAATATTCTAAAGAAATTATTTTGTGAGTCTAATTCTATTGGCAAATATTTAAGGTCGTCCTAAACTATTAAGTTCACTTACTTTTAGAAGTTGTTTCCAATTGATTAGTATTTACGGTCGACCTAACTATATAAACAAGCATTGTCTGTAAAGTTTTATGCTCCTCTTCTTCTTCTGTACAAAACCTCGTATTTTCTGGGTGCTACGCCATATTAGGACTTTTTGATACCGTTAGTGGAGACTTGGGACGTTCAAATTAGAGTAACCTATAGTGTCAATGAATCACTTGTCTTAGGTCTCGTTTATCGGCTAAGGTGAACTCGTAATAGTTTCAAGCATATCATTTAATGAGTCAGAACATTGTTATTAAAGGATTGTGGATATTGCTGAGTTTCATTTCAAATCGTGCTTCTAGATTTCTAGTTGTGGTCCAAAATTAATTAATTCATGACTTTAATGAAACTCAACTGTCTTCTCAACCCTATAATGACAATAATTATTTAATCTAAATTCTATAAATAATTTTAACAGTCAGTATTTGAAACTTATATTACGTGATTACGGTCCGCTGTCAGTTCCGCTATTCAAACTACATTTTTTATACCGTATTTATGAGTTATTTGAATGTCAACATATTTATCTCTCATTTTAGTAAAGGATTAATAAAAACGAACTGGTAGGCAGAACAATAGTGTTTCTGTTTGAGTTTTCCAGTACTTAGAATCTCAATAATTTGTACTCCCTTCATGAAATCATGTGAACACATGCAGTTAACATCCATAATTATGCAATTCAAAGAAATATATGAAAGGAATATTAATTTTATTATTTATACAGTTAGAAAAATAGGTGAACCGAACCTTAAACCAGCCTTATATATTTATATATACGTATTTGCATATAATTGCTCATAGTTTTACATAAATTATACAGTTACTGTAATCGACTGTCAAATAAGTATCTAAATTTAATCAAGATATTGTTGTAATGTTCAAATGTTTCGGTTATCCATTTCGTAAGTGTTTAAATATTACAGCTCACTCTCTTCAGTCTTAATTTTGAATGGTAAGTGTATTTAAAGGATCTGGCTCTTCTATCTCACACGCAATAACAAATGCAAGAGAAGACCACCAGTGTACCAGCAGCCTTAGCAGCAGTAGGTCTCAGCATACAAAATGGGAAAAGCAAGATTCCCCGATACAATACAACATGCATAAACCAAAACACACTTGATGGTGAAGCTTTGGAATATATATAAAAACCTTTACATAGTTGGGCAGCAAAATTGATGAGCACGGTGGATCTGATGCAGATGTGAAGGCACCGATAGGCAAAGCAAGAGCTGCATTTCTACAACTGAGCAACATCGGGAACTCAAAACAACTGTCAACCAACATCAAGGTCAGAATTTTCGATACAGAGGTCAAGACATTCTACTTTATGGGGTGAAAACTTGGAGAACCACGAAAGCAATCATCCAGAAGATACAGGTATTCATTAACAGCTGTCTACGAAAAATACTCCGGATTCACTGGCCAAACACTAGCAGCTACAACATATTGTGGTAGAGAACGGACCAGACTTCAGCAGAGGAAGATATCAGGAAGAAGCGCTGGAGGTGGATAGAACAAACATTTTGGAAAGCACTCAACTGCGTTACAAGACAAGTCCTCACCTAGAATCCTCATGGCTTAGGAACACATTACGCCGAGAAATCGAGATAGACATGGGAAGAATGAGCAAAATTTGGACAGGAATAGAAGGGAATGCTTTCGACAGATAAAGTTGGAGAATGCTGATCAGATGTCTATTGTCCATTGAGGGTAACTGACGAAAGCAAGTACGTAAGTAAGTGAATAAGTAAGTAAGTATGTAATTAAGTAAGTATCAAGTATATTTAACGAATTGTTTACAAACTACTTGGGATTTTAACTACAAGAAAACCTTATGAGAAGGATACTGCATTTATTGGGTGAATTGCTTTTACTTTTTTCTACAGTGACACATTAGGTTTGTAACTCTGACTGTCACCTTTAGTGAATTAGTCTGATTATTTGAAATATCATCAAACAGAAACTGGTGATTGATTAAAAAAGGAAATTTAAACAACTTACGATTCAATCACGTAGAAATTGTCACCATCATCGCCTTGTTTGATTACTACATCACCTTGTTTCACTTTCATTTCTTGCATGGCGTCGATAACTTTCGCTTTTTGTTCCTTTTGATTGAATTTATTTTTTTCGAAAAATAAAACATTAAAACAAGTGAAAAATTAATCCATTTACAAGTGTTTTTCATCAGTTTATTGTTAAGTTACACATTTTTGAAACGATGAATCGATTAGTGTTAGACAACCATTAGAAACGTGGAAGCATTGGATGGCTGTTTCGTCCTGGTATAGGACTCATCAGTGACAGTGCTCATCCACGACTCCTGCACCCCGTGGGATTCGAACACAGGACCTTCAGTATTGTGCGCAAACGCCTAACCTCTGGACCACTGACCAAGTATCTAACGGTATTAATGTCTAGCTCTGATCAATTCAGTTGATAATTGTCAACTGTTTTACTATTAAAGGTGACAGTTATACAACAGCAAAATCATCAGTACAATGTTGACAAGTCAAGCTGACAGTATGTAATAAGTTTATGATGAATGTATCAATAATGTCAGAAAATTTCATTCATTTTAAATTGGTCTCTACTTTAGAAAAACACATAAGCGAACAATATTTTTGTTTTCAATTTAGGTTGTCGTCAAGCGTCACACGAATATGCATAAATATTTTTATGAAAATAATCAAACAATCAAGGCGAGTCAATAATTACAATGAAATAGATTATATAACTATACATAATAAGTAAAACTACAAGTTGTCAGTAGGTAGACAGGTGTGATTATAGTTGTAAGAATAATAAAATCACTGAAGCTTTAGTCAATAGTTCACTATATTTGAAATTGTACTTAAAATAATAATTACAAAACATTAGTCGAATGAATTATTTGTGAATCAATCATTGTTGGACCACCAATAGAAACCTGGAAGCATTGGACGGCTGTTTCGTCCTGGTATGGGACTCTTCTGCAGTGCGCACCAATGACTCCAGCTACTCGCAGGATTCGAATACAGGACCTCAACTCTGGACTACTGGGCCGGTATCCAGAGGTGTTACTGTCTAACTCTGATCAATCTAAGGAATGTGCGCGGCCTAACCCAATCGTTTTCGATAGAGACTGACTACACTCGACAGAGTTGAACTCCACTGGTCACGTCTTCTCATTAGAACTGTTGATCAGTCCCATACTAGGAATTGACAGCCGTCCAGTGCTTCCAGTTATCTAATGTTGGCCTAACAATGATTAATTCACATTTCAGTGATAAATAAACAATCTCCAAAGTTTGTATAAATGTCTCAAGAGTAATATTTTTCATTATGACCTTAAGAAAAAAACGATGTCAGCCTATTCTCATGCATTGAATATAGTTCTTAAAAAGATGATAGATATCTCATACCAAGCAAGTGTTAACTAACACAAAAATGTACTTTTGCACTTTGTATTAATTAATTTATTTCAATCAACTAATAATATGAAGATATGATCTAATTTCTTGTTTTATACTTGATATTCAGGTTTTTAATATTAATTAAAAGTGTTTTTTTGCCCTATGTAGATTCAAAGCTAACTCTAAGCGTAACAACATTCAATAAACAAAGTTTCTATTGCTTAAGAAAAAAAATTTAGGTCACCAGAGAAAACTGTTATGCATGATTTCTCCTTAGTCAGATGTATGAAAGCAGAAAGCATGACATATTTACGTGACAAGTTTAACGTCTTGTATGAATTTGATTTAATAATTTGTTCGGGAATTGGTTTTCTAGATCACCGTTGTTTTAGCGAGTTAGTTTTAAACAGGATCGGGTCGCCAATCCCAAACTCAACCGTCCTCCTTTGTACGGGAGTGGAACCGTCAGTAGATCTAGAGAATCTGTAGGTGGAACAAAAGTTCGACTGAACTGGAAAAGGAACTCGAAGACAGAGTAGATTGGAGGCTTATGCACTTTTTTGTGGTAACAGGTAAAAGCAAGTAATTTATTCAGGAGGTTTATATAAACATGATTGGATTTTTGTTTGCTTGTATTTAAGTAAGTAAGTAAGTAAGTAAGTAAGTAAGTGCATAAGTAAGTAAGTAAGTAATCGGTATGAAATCAGAATTATATAGGTTGAAAATATGAGTAGATTACAATCATTTACTAAGCATTGCTTTCAAAGCATTACTTGAATTGCATTGAACCAACGTATAAATATTTGGTGTATGCTATTAATCGACTAACAAAACTGTAAACATCTATCAGTCTATTTTGGTTAGGATAAGTGATGCTCATGCTCCAGAAACCTCATAACTCAACCATAGCACAATAACAAACAGATTCATCCTACTATACCAAAGCATAATATTACCATAATGAAGTCATTAACAAATTTTCCCCAACTGTTAAAATGCATATATTTTTGTTTGTGAAACAATTCAAAGCTGAAAACTTAAGATAAAATGACTGGAAATCAGTCATACTGATGAAAATGCATTCATTATTTTATCCTCCTCACAGTGTACGAACATTCCATGGTTGCTCTGGTTGTCAGAAGAAGCATTAGTCTCGTGACTTCCGAAGAAACTTGGCCTTCACATCATGCGAAGTCATAACTCTTTCAAAATGGTGACCTTCAAACTCCCAAGGCCGAGTTTAAATAGTTTTAATTATTCTTTGGCGTTCTTTTTTGCGTGGAATTATGATAATCGATTAGTAAAAGGTGCTGAGGTAAGGATAATTGTCCACTTGATACCTCTTTAAAACAGAATACATAGAAGTTGTAATCACGGCTGATTCATAGTTGCGAGACCATAACGAATAAAGGATTTAAGTTGGTCTCAAGTTTTCATAGAGATCACCAGTGATTTATCTTTCATTTTCTTAAGAATCTGATTTCGTTATGACTCATTTTACTTTGTAGTATACTTCTGAACCTTTTCTTTTCAAGAAATTGTAGATATCAGACAGAATGTAGTAAATTTTCGATATGATGACAATCTCAGTACCGTTTTTTCTGGTCGATTCAGCCTTAAATCTTCGTCTCGCAATCGATTCAAGTGTTGAGATTTTGGCTCTTTAAAAAGTAGTTGTTTTGTTGTTGTTGTTGACCTTGTATTGGATTACTGGTTACATCAGTTTACAGTGGTTATATTAAAATAATAGTTATATTCTTTGCTAGATTTAAAGATAAGGTTTTGTGTTTGATAGATTTGGCTTTCAAATTCAGTCAGTTAGTCATATACAATGTAGAACATCGTACTTGAGTACATCAGTTCAGGTTGCCATACCACATCAGCATAGAGACGCAACTGTCAGTTCAAATCCAAGAGTGATAGCGATAGTAGAAGTATTAGCAGTAATGAAGAAGATTAGGGTTCAAATATATGATTCGAGAAGTATAATTCAATGAGATAAATTTAGAAGGAGAAAGATAGAGATGATGAGGAATTCAGAAGGTTAGAATTAGAGAGAACACAAAAAGTGGATGCACTTGCGCCATTGCTAATGATTTTGAGCCATCTCGTTCAAGGTCTCTAACCGTCTCTAACATCTCGCACACCCTAACCAGGTATCCTACATCTGCAAACATAACTCAGTCCACTTGTCAGTGACTTCATAGATTTGTGCCATGTTCTAGTTTGACTTTCGAATTGAATTTCCGTGTTAAATTCATTGAGATTCGTTGAAATATCACAGAAATTCGAACTTGACACAACTTTTGTTTATTCTACTTATAATAGATATTAAGTAGACAATTATTCTTACTGTAACACTCTTCACTTACCGATTATTATTATTATTATTATTATTTTTAATACAACTTCAAGTTTATTTCTTCATTATTTCAAATCATTCTATTTTTATCATAGACTATGATTTTAGAAAATAGGAAGATTCACTATAAAATATAATTGCATAAATTAAGTAAGTGGAATTGTTGAGAAGAAAATTTTCTACACTTAATTATCTCCGCTTTTATTCACTTCAATATAAATTAAAAATCATTATTTACGATAATCAGTTATAAAATGAATAGCATTATAATTATTGATAAAACAGTAAAATATTTCAATCAGAGTTATAGAGATCATTGATTTTACACATAGAGATCGTGAATTAATCATTGTTAGGCCAACATTAGATAACTGGAAGCACTGGACGGCTGTCAATTCCTAGTATGGGACTGATCAATGGCAGTGCGCATCCACGACTCCTGCTCTTACAGGTTCCTAGTTTTAGTCTAACAATGATTGATTCACATTTCAATGACAAACAACATTCTCCATAACTCTATAATGAAAAATCGTACATTGTGCATACTAGTGACTAGCTTTGTGAGGAAATTCTCGGAGTTCTAGTGAGAAGACGTGACCAGTGGAGTTCAACCCTGTCGGATGTAGGCAAATGGTGTACACAAATTGGTAAGGTCGCTCAAATTACCTAGATTGATCAGAGTTAGACAGTAACACCATTGAATACCGGTCCAGTGGTCCAGAGGTTAAGCATTCACGCGCAAGACCAAAGGTCCTGGTTTCGAACCCGGCGAATATCAGTAGCCGAGTATGTGTAATCCTAATGATTCCTATACCAGGTTGAATCAGTCATCCAATGCTTTCCGGTTTCTAGTGATGGTCTAACAATGATTGATTTATGACTTCAGTATGTAAAAATACTATAAAATTTTATTCTCTTATTGACAAGAAATTCAAGAAGAAAATATCAATAAAATGCTCAATGACTATCATGAATTTCCTCTGAATAGACACATAAATTCGTTTGCATTGGTTATTTAAATCTTTCTATGGATGTTGAATATTGAAATTTATCAACCACTTTAATATTTGTGCATCCTGTGTAGTAATATGTTCGTCACTAGGTATTACGAGTTCACTTTAGTCGATAAACTAGAACGAGACAATTATCAGCGTCCAGATAGGCTACGTTGAATCCCAAGCTGAAGACAGAAGGCTTTGTAAGTGTAGAAAATATATTCTACAAACATCCAGCAAGCACACAACTCTCGTTTATTTATGCAACACAGAAACGTCCTTGGTACAGTCACAAAAATAGCACACTACAATACACAGCAGCCAATCACAGCCATGGAATTTCCTTTTGGGAAATGAAATCTCAAGGTCAACTGATCAGCCCATGCTCTCAAACGTAAAATCCAAAATAATTCATTTATCAAGCGAGTTCTGGGGATCTGACATCCCCAACATGTAGACTGCCTTGATATTATCGTTAAGCCATAAACAACAGTAACATAGAGGAATGGTGGAATTCAGGACACGCGTTCTTATCCTATTTATAACTCGTCAACTGGGTGTGCCTGGATCTCAGAAACGATGTTCACTTCGGAATTCGAAGTTCTTAACACCGATGGAAAGATTCAAACAACCAATGTGAATGAATTAAGCATCATTCTATTCCACAAACCAGTAGCTGGTTGTATTCAGTAGCTATTTGAATGACATGAAGATACTAAAAGAGAACGGTACTTTGTTCGAGTCCTGGAGTGAACATCATCTCTAGGATACAGGTAAATTCAATGAACGAGTCTCACACCGGACAAAACGCAAGTCCTCCATTCCACTGCTAGTCGCGCCCTATTTAACACACAACAATAATCTTTCTATTCTTTAGGATTTGTTCATAATAGAAATTAGAATTGATAATTGAACAAAGCATAAATTAAACATTCAGAATTCAATTGTCTAGTATGAAGAATCCAAAATCATCATTAATGAATACGACGTACTTATTAGATAAATTTTCATTGATAAAAATAACAAAATAGCGCAAACTTTTAAATTGTTTATTAGACAAAAGAATAATAAAATTCATTGAGAGAATAAGTTTTATTATTTGAAAATTCAAAATCACACTAAATAATTTAGTGAATACATTTTGAAAATAAGTATAATGGGATAACTGTGTATAGAAAACTTATAGTTGGAAAAGAACTGAAAACAATTGATTTATCCTCAATTAGACTTTTTGGAGATGTTGTTGATTACAGTTAAGAGAAATCACTAATGATAAATAATTGTTAACTCATGTGATTTTTACAATTGTGAGGGTTCATCAAAAATGTCACATTTTCATAGTTTACTTTAAGGACTGATGTTTATTGGATAAATACTATTGAAAACCGGATAGAACTGGGGAGCTTTTCTGTCATGGAGGAGAGATCTGTTTTAGTAGTTTGTGTTCATGTTCCAACTAAAAAATTGAACAATGAACCTTTAAATTTTCCTACTGGTGCTTAACGTTTAGACCATTTAGACCACAATGGTTTAGAAGTCTAAATGAAGTGAGCTTGTGATATTATCTATCTAACATCAATCGATTATGTAAATCTATGAAACGTCAAGTGGTTTTAACAGTTTATCGTGTGAATTTACCGTTTTCCAAGCTCCAGCTGCTAATTAAAGTTTCTAGATGAATTTATAGTGCGGTCACAAACCCATGTGATTTGAAATCGGAGTTAGTCGGGTTTAAAACTTCTTTTAATCTAGGTTCTCTTCTCTGAGATACCCATTAGGTCAGCTTACCTGCAGTCTTGAGAGAAGTAAGTCTACCTGGTGAGTTTTGATCTTAGTCACTCTGTTACATTCAGTAAATTATAATCAACAAACTGGGATGATCGGTTTCCTGACAATTAAAGATATATATCTTTCCTGAAAGGGCTAACTTAGGTTAAACAACTTATCATAAATACTAAACGATGATTTAATAACTATAAACAATAAAATGTGTTGTATTTTCTATTCATTTTAAATCAACACACATTTTAAATGTATCCAACTTTTTCAGCATTCAATGTTCAATTCTATTATGTTTTTTCACAACATTGATTCTCAAAGCACATCCTTTTAAGTAAAACAAATAATAATTAAGGTGTGCCTTTTTGTTTTACTATTTTTTTTTAAAAAATAATGCTTATCTCTATTTTGATGTGATTTCATCATTGATTTAACTAACAAAAGTTTCTCTATTAACGAGTTGTCATAATCCCTAGATAAATTGATTGATTGATTGGTTTTTTTGGAGAATGTTTGAATTTTTTAAATGTTTGCTGTGATTCAATTAATTTAATTCAAACAAACAAACAAACAAACAATAAATAATCATAAAAACAATAAACAAATAAGTAAACAATCAAACTATTGGAATTTATGTTCTGGTTATGGAAAATAAACAAAATAAATTATTTATTTCTATATGATGTATGTATACATAAATTATAACAATTGAAAATTGAAAATTGAAATCAGAACAATAACAAAATAAATTTTAGTTTTAAGTATGATTAGTTCATGTCGTCGCTTAGTTTATTATTGAAAGTAATCAGCCTAGAGGATATTCATCATAAATTCTTATCAAGTAAGGTATATTTAGATAGCAGAGTGTGATGAAGAGCTGATCTGTAACAACTCCATTAAGACTAAGGACCATAAGCTTCGGGTATTAAAACAAATTCTTAAACCGGTAGAGAAGATTTGAAATATACCGCTAATCGATTTTGATTTTATTCATCTTACACTTCAAGTTTGAAAAGCAATCAGTTCTATAGGTGATCCTAACTGGAAATTTCGGAACTAGTCTCAAAGTTGTTTAATGGTGAACACATCAGTCTACTTTTTATTGAGAAGTTAAAAGATGATTATTTTAGTTTTTAGGTATCATTTATCCCAGACCGAGATCAATCGGAGCACCAGTGAACACTAAGAAACACGAAACAGTTGTGTTTTCCTTAGATTAGAATATTCCAGAAGTAACAAGCGCCCAAATTTCTGACAAAAATACACATTGAAGCATATTCTTGATGAAGTGAATATTGAATTTCCGAAAAAAAGGACTAATCATTGTAAATCTTTTCAAATTGTTTACTTTTTATCAGTTTACTCATTAAATCTTTTAGTACTTTTATGAAACGAAATTGAAAACCATGTACCTAAAGAAAGATTTTTTTTCGTGTACTGACAGTTAATCAATAAGAGCTTGGAACAGCTCTCTATCTGTTTCTCAAGATATTGTGAAACTGAAGAACAAGATCCAGCCGGATTCTCACTTATAAGAATTCTCCTATTATACTACATATTCATTCAATTCGTAATCCTCATATGTAGCATAAGTAAGTTTTTTACACATTATCGTACATATATGAACATTTCACTATAATTAAATAGGAGGGAATCAAAACATTACAAACTGATTTCATATATTACATCTTACACTGACTTCGTAGTTTGAAGCAAAGTGATTGCCTCACCCTATAGTGTTAAACTGGGTTGGCATATTTCAACCGAAGGAAAGATTAATAACACGATGGCCAAAAATCCTAACTGCTCTAAATCCAGTCTTATTATTAGTGCACACTGTTGAGTAGTCTTGGATTAAGGCAGTGACGGTTTTTAAATACCTCCAAGTTCCGATGAAATTGATGTATGAGAATGCTAGTTGGTGTTCTATGCTCCACGAGGGGTAAACAGGCATAAATAAGTATGCTTAGAATATTTCTCTAACAGATCTTGGTTCATGAGTAAAAAAGGAAACTATTTGTTCCATAAAAAATGCATCATTAAGTTAGGTTTTTTTCTCTGGAAACCATTTCTTATCTAACAGTAAGAATAGTTATTGATATTTTAGTGAGAAGGTCACGCTTATATGTTTTTCTCATTTGAATAAATATATATTTGAACAAAAAATTGGTGTTTAACCGAGGCATAGAAAATGAAAGACAAAGGATTGAGAACGAATCCACTAAAGTACTCACAAACCCACCCAAAAAATAAATGAAAATGATAAGTGTTTATCTAAATAGGAAAAATGTAACTTTCTAAAAAAAAAGATTTTTTATGCCACAACAGATATATATATATACACATATCATTTGTTGAAATATGATAATTAGTTCAATTTTCAATGTTCAATTTGTCCTTTATTTTCTCTTTTATTTTTTGTTTTGGATCAAGGTCAGAGAAATGTTATTTGTGAATGGTGTGTGTTGTATAGTATAATTATTAAGCGATAACATCTATAAACAAGTTTCATTTTAAGTAAATAAATGATAGAAGACACAATTATTTAGTAAATATTATTTCCAGTGATTATAATGAGTAGTATATCCTTAGGTTTACAGAAAAAAAAACTATTTTTATCTTCGTCAAATTATTAGTTTATAGCTTAACTAACAAAAGTGATCGTTTGTGAAAATAGACCCTATAATTTATATATTTAAACAAATATGAATATATATATGTATATGCTGATTTAATTGCATTTTATCCGTTTCAGATCTGGCATTTGACGAAAATTCTGCTAAAACTTTTTAAAATGATGGCAATTTTCAGCTTAGATGGACGCATTTTTGGTAGTTCTATGTTTTATAAGCTTGTTGATTTATCTGTCAGACTATCGTTAGCCACGTCGGACTACGTTATGTGGCAGGAGCTGAAAATGTTCTCCAGAATGACATACGATAGTTATAAATATTAAGGAAAAAGAAACATAAATCAAATTTACTTCATCAAGGCATCGAAATAGCAGGATTTCTTTGACAGCATTCGTTAGTCTAGCTCGTTGACTATCAGATTTTGGATAAACTCGTCGTTCTTCATCAAAATTATCATCACTGTCTTTTTCCGGATCGAAACTTTCAGCAGCCACTAAAAATTGTTCAACAGAAAAAAACGCAATAAAAGAAACAGTTTAATAGGTTGATAATTATTGTGTTTATTGATTTTTATTTTAGTAAACCATTGATAATGTTTTCATTACTAAAAACTATGTAAAAACTTGCAACTAACTGGTCAATCTCATGTTTGTTTAATCTTTTATGTGCTGTCGGAATTCTGTTCATCAAGTAACAGAGTGAACAACAGTCTGGATAATTCGGTATCTTGCGCAGTATGTTGAGATGTTAGACCAACAGTTTCCTGTCGACTATAAACAAACCTTCAAGCATTTCAATCTTGTGAGAGGTAAATCGAGACCCTATAAGAAGTCTTAAACTGAGGACCTAAGTGAAGATGGATTCGAGTCCTTCAGGGAACATCAATTCTTTCACGACTATAGATACATCCTACTTTCTAGCAATAAAATGACATGAAACCTAGGGTAAAGAGTTCTCTGTCGACTACATCTAGATATCAAGGAGTCAAAGGTCATTGAAAAAATATACATAATAACAAATAAATTGCTCAAAGTTGATTTGTGAACATAATATCAACGATAAAGTCTTTATTGCCATGAGATTAAGAATTCTCAGGTTATGCAATCAATTGATAACAGTTAATTTGAACATACATGGTTGTAAGATTTATAGATTTCAGATAATTCGTTCAACTCACATATTTTTAGAGGTTGAACTACTCTCTCTCTCTCTATCTGTAATGCGCTAATTTATTCAAACTTAACTTTCGGTATACGTTTACTTTATATCTTAGTAATCACTAAACAGCGGATCAAGAGTCATCATCTTGAACAAAGATGATTCAACGAAGTATGACATTACTGTTTCTCATTGATGGAGCTATGTTTTAAGGTGTAGGAGTAGGTTGGAAGAAAGCTAGGCACGGCCAGACCAAAACATCGCAGAAATTCATAAAGTCACTGACAAGTGGACTGAGTCATGTTGGTAGATGTAGACTACCTGGTTGGGGTCCGGGAGACGAAAGTCATCAATGGTTAGAGACCTTGAATGACATGGCTCAGAATCGTTTGCAATGTCACAAGTGCATGCATTTGTTGTGCTGTCTGAAATCGTAATCTTCTGGATTCGTCAGCACCTCTACCTTTGTCTTTCTAAACTTATCTCACTGAATTATACTTCTTGAATAATATTTTCAAACTCTAGTCTTCTTCATTACCATTAATACCTCTACTATCTTTATCACTATGGGATTCGATTTGACATTTGCGTCTATGTGCTAATGTGGTATGGCAACATGAACTTATGCACATACGTACGAAGTTCTACGTTGCAACTGACTGACTGTTAGAACTTTAAAAGATGAATATAATATTCATGAAATACATAGATTCTAAATGGTCCTTAACTGGTTCAATGAAATTCATAAATCAAACAACACAATTCTTTACGCTGAATTTCATCGATTTATTAATTAGTTAAATAACTGATGAAACTGATCAGTAATCAGTTTATTTGGTTGATTTTTTTTAAAGGTTCATTTTATTTTGCAGTTAATTGCCAATGTAACTTCAGTTCCATGAACAGTCATCAAAAATCTAGAAATATTTGTTGCGGATGTTAGATTCCTAAAACTCGCTTGATAAATGCCTTAGTTTTGGATTTCACATTTGCGAGCATGGGCTGATCAGTTGACCTTGAGATTTCATTTCCCACCAGCAAAATCCATGGCTGTGACTGGCTGCTGTGTATTTTAGTGTGGTATTTTCGTGACTGTCCCAAGGACGTTTCTATGATGTATAAATAAACGAGAGTTGTGTGCTTGATTGTATTGTGATTGCCAGGTGTTGTAGATTATACTTTCTACGCTTACCATGTCTTCTGTTTTGCAGTTTGGGATTCAACGTAGCCTACCTGGACGCTGGTAATTGTCTCGTTCGCGTTTATCGACTAAGGTGAACTCGTAATAGCTTCAAGAGTACCAAGTGACGAACATAACAGTATTGAATAGATGTTTTAACATTAATTGTGATTTCTAAAAAAAAGTAACTATCAACAACAACGTAGAACTTCGTGCATGCGTCCATCAGTTCAAGTTGACATACCATTTAAGCACACAGAAGTGGAATTATTAATTGAAATCCCATAGTAATAGAGGTTGCAGAAGTATTAGTAGTGATCAAAAAGATTAGGAATCAGAGAAATGATTTAAAAAGTGTATCGCAGAAGAATCAATTTAAAAAGAGAATAAAACGTTCATGAGGGATTCAAAAGATTAGAAATTGAGCGAAGAGAAAATCGAACGCATCTGCTCAATTGCAAATGATTTTGACCCATGTCATTCAAAGTCTCAAAAGCCCCAACAAGTAAGCCTTAATTTACTAACATGGCTCAGTCCAGTTATCAATGACGTCATGGATTTGCGCCGTGTTTTGGTTTGGCCGCTCCCAGCTTTCTTCCAGGCTACTCCTCCAACAGACACATGAACATTCTTATAGTATGACGAATTGGATAAGCCAACTGTTCACATTTCTTGACTTCAGATAGTTGCGAAACAATACGTGGATTATTTGGAATCATTGATAATCATCTGTCTCGCTCTTTAAATATTTCAAAACATAAATCAAAGCCTCATACTTGAAGTATTCATAATTCATTGTCAAGATAATTGTTTGCAAAATCAATACTTATTGGACAATTATTGTAGTTTGTTTTATAGATTTACTTATCAATAACAGCGAAAGCAGTGAGAATTTGTGACAAAAATTATTCAGTTACAAATGAAAGTCAACAACTCACAACTATTCAGTAGTTAAAATTATCACTTGATGAACAGGGTATCTGATACACAAATCTATACGTTCATCAGTTACACATTACTGATTACAACGATTCTAACAGTATAGAGATCCTTTCGAGAGCGGGAGAAACAAATATTCATTCATGAAATCAACCAAATCGTAATAATTAAAATCTAAATTTTTAAATTTTTTCTTTATACAAATATCACCTATAATTTTAAACTACTTTTTTAATTATAAAGTTGATTAGTGAGTGATATTGAATATTGATAAATTTTTCACATTCATTCAAAGATCAATGGAAACAATTTTTGATATTTCATATAAGAAATATTACGGCCATTTTAATATTTATTTACGCTCAATAAATAAAATTGAACATAGAACGCCTATCATTAGAAATATACCTATGTCTAAAGAATATTAATTATCATCTCAATAAACAAGATATTGATTTATTCTACTGGGTAAAGTTTTTTAAGATTCAAAGTGGACACAATGAATTATTACCGACATTAGTTTGTCTAACTAGGTGATAATATTTTCAGTGATTACATAATTTTTCTGAATATTTTTATAAGCAGGACAGAAACTCGCTATTCTGAGACTAAATGGAGGAAAGCATTAAGAAATAAAGTGATTATCAAAAGTTATTTATTCAGGTGTGGTGTTTGAAACTGTAATCAATTGAAAGTAACATATGTTACAGACATTAATTTAAGTAAACCGATCTGAAGTTTGTGTTGCTGATGATGTTGTTCAGTAGAACAATGAAAGTTTCACAAACAAAATATCCAGTTCAGAGAATGAAACACCATCACAAACAAACATATACCGAAGTTTATGCACTGTAAGTAATTAAGTTATAAAAGGTGTATCTTCCAATAATGTTCTTCAGAGTTGTTTTAATTAAAAAATTTCAGTCTACTTCAAAGAATAATGTATATATTAACTGAGAACTGAAAACAAGGAAGAACTGATAAGAGATTTTATTACAATATAGGACTTCTCAGTAGTGCATTTCAGTAAACTAACTAGGGATCGAAGCTAGGATTTGTAATCTCAAATCGAGGGCTTAATTTCAAGACCACTTATCTTGTACTCAGTGGACTGAATGACTAACTTCAGTGAATTCGCTTTATTTTATATGACTATCCCTTATTGTCAACTTTGAGGAATATCAAAGTATACTGTACCAATCAATTCAAATGAACGACTCGGACTTTGTGAATAAAGGGCAATTTGAAAATTTAACTTTAGGCAAATTTTTATACTAACTTGAGTAAAACTATAAAAATATCGTAGAGATAGTTAACTAAAGTGGATCTTGACAGTGTAAGGTAAAGGTTTTACTTCGAAGCGTTTGACCCTATAGATTGATGTTATTCTGTTTAAACAGAAATAGAATAAGTACCTTAACAGAATAATGTGGATTCATGCATTTTTTCCAAGATTTTATTCAGCTGCTTACAAAATGAGGTAATTGTATACAAATATATAAAAAGTAAGTGTATACTCTCGATATCATATCTGCAGGAAACCATCCCTTACTGTTCAGTTCGACCTGAATATCTGATCCCTGGTAGGAATATGAAATTGTACTACCTAGAGGTCATATTATTCGAACGAAATAGCTTTCTAGTGCTCCATGCTTTTCAGTAGTACCACAACTTCAATCAATTTGTAAAGGATAACCTTGAGAGAAATATAATAAATGTATTTGATACTAGCTAACGAGTACAATATTACTGATAGCGGTTGAGATATAACCAATTTATTGTTTGTCTATTGCTTCGTGCCAGTCATATTCTACATATTAAATTTCATTGTGTCGTGTCTACCTGTCAGAGTGATTCATACCGCATTGAAAATGTTGCAAGTATTTAAGAGGAGATACTGAAAGAAGGTTTTTTACAAGCTGGAACTCATTTGCAAGGTATACTTGTAGTCTTGAAAATACAGATTCGATTACATATCATTCTGCTTTTCTGTCTGAGACATGACGACTGAGCTATTTGGGCATTGACATACCCAATGTAACACTGCTGTGGTCACATTGACTGATAACTGAATAGTAATCAATGTCATGTTTATCTGCCGATCGAATTCGATTAGTCATGTCGTAATGAATGCAAACTAATCAGTATAAATGTTCTAGGCAGTTTGTTAATTAGATATTTATCACTGAAATTTTCCAGAAGGGGAAACTAATAAT